CTGAGTTGACCTTAGTTCATTCTATTATTCCCACTTGGCTTATTAACGACATCTTCCTACAACGTAAGTAATCTGGCTTCCATTATTTGCTTATGTCTTTAAACATAGTATACACATAAAATGTTTCATAATTGTTATCCCAGGCCCATTTGAAAAACAAATTTACCAATTGGAAGACACTGTTTGGATGCAGTGTCCTTAGCCTTATAGAATCTGGTCCAAATAACTGGTTTCAAGGCGACTTCAATCAGCTCTTTTCTTCCCTACCCATTTCAGTGTAGTCATTCCTTTGTCACATTCTGGATTCCATCTTGGGTTCTCTTGATATCCCGGTTGATTTTTTTCTAAATATATATATTATTTATACTGTAGGCTTGAATGAGTTTTGACAAGTGCATAAAGTTCTGTATCCATCACCACAGTGCCAAAAAGAAGAGTTCAATCACCCCCGCAAATTATCCTGTGCTACCCTTCTGTAATTACCACCTACCTCCACTCTCAACCGCTATTCTGTTTTCTGACTCCATAGCTTTTCCTTTCAGAGAATGGTGTATTAGTAGAAGTACACAATACACATCCCTTTGTGGCTGGCTTCTTTCATACAGCAATACAAATTTAAGATCTACCAGGATAGGTAGAAGGGGTGACAACATCCAGAATGATAGCATGAAGACTTTTATAGACCAAGTCCTCTTCAGCAAATCAACCACGGGGGGTGAAAATCATTATTAAAAACAACCATGTAACACTTCCATAAATCATCCTAGGAGCATACAACAAAGAAAGAAATGCTTAAAGAAGTAAAATCTGCTAAATTTCAGTAAGAACATCAATAGTAAAACCAAACATCAGACTTAACAGATAAAATATTCAAAACAGTCACTATACATACGTACAGACAACTAAAGGAAACCAACACCCTTTTATGATAAAACTCAGCAACTCAAAATACAGAGGAATCTTCATATCCTGATAAAAGGTACACATGAAAAGAACACAGTAGCTGGGTGCGGTGGCTCACGCCTGTAATCCCAGCACTTTGGGAGGCCGAGGCGGGTGGATCACGAGGTCAAAAGATCGAGACCATCCTGGTCAACATGGTGAAACCCCGTCTCTACTAAAAATACAAAAATTAGCTGGGCATGGTAGCACGTGCCTGTAATCCCAGCTACTCAGGAGGCTGAAGCAGGAGAATTGCCTGAACCCAGGAGGCGGAGGTTGCGGTGAGCCGAGATCGCGCCATTGCACTCCAGCCTGGGTAACAAGAGCAAAACTCCGTCTCAAAAAAAAAAAAAGAAAGAAAAGGAAAAGAAAAGTACACAGTAAACTTTACTCTTAATGGTAAAAGATTGAATGCATTGTTTTTAAATCAGAAACAAGACAAGGATATTGGCTTTCATCACTGCTATTTAACAATCTACTAGAGGTGCTCGCCAGGGAGATCAAGAAAGTAAAGGAAAAGGAAAAAAGCGAAAACAGAAGACAAGACAAGAAAGGCATCCAGATTGAATAGGAAGATAATACGATCTTGCATTTAGAAAATCCTAAGAAATCCACAACAACAACAAAAACGCTACTAGAACTAATAAGTGAATTCACCATGATGGAAGCATACAAGATTAACATACAAAATCAATTTCATTTCTGTGTAACAGCAATTCAAACAAAAATACAAAAGTGAAATTAAGAAATAATTTCATTTACAGTAGCATAAAAGAAAAAAATTACTCATGTATAAATTTAACCAACGAAGTGAAAAATGTGTCACTAAAAATTGAAAAACATTTTTTAAGCAATTAAAGAAGACATAAATAAATGGAAAAACATATCACCTTCATCAATCAGAAGACTTAATTAATATTGACAAGACATCAATATGAACTAAAACAACTTGCAGATTTAATGCAATTCCTAACAAAATCCCAACAGATTCATAGAAGAAATTGCCAAGGTATTCCTAAAATTCATATGGAAATCGAAAGGGAAAACCATATGCCCATATAAAAGACTACTGATGTACTATTAATAGTAGCCCAAATTTGGATACAATCCAAATGTCTATAACAGATAAATGGCTAAGTAAAACGTGGTATACCCACACTACAGAATATTATTCAGCCATATAAAGGTATAAAGTACTGATATATGCTGCAACATGAAAGAACACTGAAAACACCATTCTAAGTCAAAGAAGGCACTCAAAAACGTACACATTTTCAATAATTCTATTTATATGAAATGTTCAACATAGGCAAATCCATGAAAACAGAAAGTAGATGATGTTATTAGGAGCAAGGGGAGGGAAGAAGGGTGTGTCTGCTCATGATGTTTCTTTTAGCAGTTATGAAAATGTCATGAAATTAGATGGTGATGGTTGCACAATTCTATGAATGTGTTAAACTCTGTGGATTACATACTTTAATTAAAAGGTAATCTTACAGTATGTGACTATCCCAATAAAGGTAAAAAGGTCACATAGTGCATGATTCCATTCATGGAACATCCTTCAATTGAGAAAATTATAAAGATGGAAGACAAATTAATGATGGCCATGGATTAGGGATGAGGGACAGTGTGGGTGTGACTCACAGCGGGTAGCCTGAAGGAGATCTTTGTGCTGATGGAACAGCTCTGTGTTTTGGTTGTGGTCATGGTTACAAAAATGTACACATGTATTAAAATGACAAAGAACTCTATATGTACACACATTGTAATGATGTCAGATTCCTTGTTTTGCTGTTATACTATAATTATATAAGATGTAATTATTGAGGGAAATCAAGTGAGGAGTCCACGAGACCTCACTAACAACTTTCAAGATATTCTGTGAATCCAATTATTTCATGTTTAAAAATAACTTCCATGGTCATTAAGTCTCATCTTTATCATCAATGTCCAGATTATTAATTTGGCTCTCTATGATTTCCTTAATACCTGAAAACTATGCCCTGGCAAACAGACATCAAGTGTTGTGGGCTTTGAAGCAAATCTCTCATTGCAAATACACAGCGTGGCATTTTTATTTTTTTCTTGAGAGACAGAATTTTGCTCTTGTTTCCCAGGTTGGAGTGCAATGGCACAATCTTGGTTCACTGCAATCTCCACCTCCTGGGTTCAAGCCATTCTTCTGCCTCAGTCTCCAAAGAAGCTGGGACTACAGGCATGTGCCACCATGCCTGACTAGATTTTTATATTTTTAGTAGAGATACCGTTTCACTATGTTGGTCAGGTTGGCCTTGAACGCCTGACCTCAGGTGAGCCACCTGTCTCAGCCTCCCAAAGTGCTGTGATTACAGGCATGAGCCACCATGCTTGGACTTAGCTTGGCATTTTTGTTTGTTAATAAATCTCATATTTTTCTGTGAAAGAATAAGCCAAGTTGTGATTCTTTTTCCCTAATGCTTAGCATACTGCCTTGCACAGCTGGCATTCATAAAATATTTGATAATAAATGAAGTCTGAATCTTCAGGCCTCAGAAAACAAACTGAGTTGTGGTGGCTTCACATCAGGACTGTGAAGCTCAGCCTAAAGGAAGCATCAATGTCAGTTTAAGGAATCTTCTTTTCTATGCATAAGTTTCTAAGTTGCCGGAAAAAAAAATAGTCCATATTTAATTGTATGTGTACTAAAGTTTGCATAAAAATACTTCCCTGAGCTTAAAGATCAGAGTCAGCACTATCTCTAGGAGAATCCCCTAATTTAAATAAGTCCCAATTACAGCTCATAAGTGTCTTCAGGATGAAGGTCACTTTTCCAAAGTATGATGTCATTGAGTGCCTGTTTAAGAGGATGGCAGAGTATAGAAGAGCATCTTGCCTTACTGTGTTTGTTCCTGTACAAAAGTATCCCTCAGGTTAGGTGCTGAATTCCCCCTACTTTAGTGACAATTCAAGAATAGGCTAAATGGAGCTCTCAGGAACTAGGAACTGAATCTTATCCCAGAAAAGCTCTTTCAAACAAATTTTACAATCCCAAATGGCCAAAGCAGAGCTTAGAGCAGGTTACCTTAGCCCAACTGTAGTTCAATAAATAGAATTCCCCACGATGCTCACCCACATTCATATACTGAAGTATCTGATTTCTAGTAACCTGAAGAACACCATACCTTTTACGGTGCTCATTCATTGATCATCCATAGCTTGATTATTACCAGAATTTGAGTTTGCTAGAAGCTGAGGCCCAGAGTTCTGACTAACAGGGTATAAGACAAAGGTCTAATAGTTATAGTGGGCAAGATCCCCAAAAAATCACATGATGTATGTTTTTTGGTAGGTTGTGTTAAAGGTGACTTGGACCTGAAGACTTCTATCTTCTAAACTAAAGCTCTACCATGGGACTGATATCTCCTACATTTGTCAACTGTAGACATACACAGGCATATCTACATCCTGGATCATGCTGCTGAGCTCCATTGCCCAGAAGACTATTGATACTCAGGATCAGCAGAATCCACTCCTGTTGGTATGAGTCCATAAGCTCCACTTCCAGTAGCTGGCATAATAATATATGGTGCTACAATTTGAATATAGATCAAACTCTCTAACATAGCATACAGATATTCCAAAACTGACTCTTAGATTCCCCATTTTTATCTCACCATCTCTTGCCTGCACACTATTGTCTGGCCATACACACTACCTGAATTTCTCATATTTCCCCAGCAGTATTACCTACCATTTCTATGACAGTTACTACTTCTGCCTAAAGTACCTACCCCTTCACCACATTTTCCAGGAAACGTCTTACCATCTTTAAAAAATCAGAATTAAATAAATGAAATATAAATCCTTAAAATAAATAAAAACTTACAGAAAACTGAGGCATGGAGAAGTTGAGTAGTGCCCAAAGTTGCCCACCATGTAAGTGACAGAGCCCAAAGAAAAAGCCAGGTCTGACTAACTGTGAAAAACATATACACAGCCACAACACTCTATATAAAATATTCTATGGTTCTAGAATGGAATCTTTGCAGAATCTTTTATGAATTCAGATATTCATAACTCCATCTTATACCTGTGTTTTCTCTTGCTGGAGCTCTGGGATCTGCATATTGGGAAAGTTTCCCAGGTAACTCTGAGCAACAATGTATCTGAGAACCACCACCTCAGGAAATAGGGCTTAGAACAAGTATTGACACTTCAGTGTACCACAAGGAATTGGATAGCATCTGAAACCAATTTTGGTGATATACCATTTTTCAAAAAAGTTAAATGAGACATGTCTATTTTACAAAACTGAGAATCTGTAGAGAAATACTTCCAGGAGTAACTGCATTCTGGTAACATTTAATTACATTTTGTAAATTAGCAAAAATCTGTTTTGTAAAGAAAAATGAATTTAAATTATCTTTCATTTAAATTCTTGACAAGGGATCAACTACAATTGTGTGGAGAATAGATTTGATTTGAACATTTGATTGAATGTGTCTTAGTGGTCCTCAGACATCAAAATTAAAATCTCAAGCATGATGAAGAAATATTAATAATATTTCAGGCTTTATACTACTCAGTGTTTCATGTTTTTGGAACACCAAAAGGAAGATTATTGTAATCAATAAGTGAAATGAGACACAAATGAAAACCATGGCATATATGGGGCTCCCCCTTTGCCACTATACGCTTTCACATTTTTAAAAAATTCAAGGCTCCTTGTCTTTGCATTTATGTAATGTGAGATATTTGAAATGAAATTTGTTTTGCGTTATTTTTGCTTTTTATTTAAAATAAATTTAGACTTGCAAAAAAGTTGCAAAGTGAAGTTTTCACATACTCCCATCTCAACTTCTACTATTAACATCTTACCTAACCCTGGTAAAAGTATCAAAACCAAAAAATCAAAATGGATACAGTACTATTAAGTAATCTACAGACTTTGTTTGAATTTTGGCAAGTGGCCCAATAAGGTTCTTTTCTCTGGATTAGGAAGCAATCTAGAATCCCACATGGCATACAAGTGTCATGTTGTTTAGCCTTCTCCAATCTCAAACTTTTCTTCAGGTTTTGGCTTCCATAACATTGATGCTTCTGAAGAATACTGGTCAGCTATGTCATTGGCCCTAAGTTTGAGCTGGCCAGATGTTTTTCCACAATTAGACTTAAGTTATGCATTTCAGGCAGGAAATTAAGTTTATACATCATATCAAGGGGCACATGATATGGAAGTTCATATATGATCAATGATGACTTGGTTATATACTTAGGATGTTTGATGACTTGGTTAAGTTGGTGTCTATAAGATTCCTCCACAGTAATGAAGGCATTTTCCTTTGTAATAAAGAAGATGGAAAAATACTATGTCTAACAATGAAAACTATGTACACAGCAACAGCACTCTATGTAAAATATTCTGTGGTTCTAGAATGAAATCCTTGCAGCATCTTTTAAAATTCAGATAACCCTAACTCCATCCTATACCTGTATTTTCTCTTGCTGGAGCTCTGGGATCTGTATATTGAAAAAGTTTCCCAGGTGACTCTGAGGCATCCACCAATGGTCCTTTTCCAAAACAATTATTAATATGGTGTTTACCTAAGGGTAATTTTCTATTTCTCTTCTTCCTTCTAGGTTTATTAATTGAAATTCTACGTTTCAGATTTATTTATTTATGTATTCAACTATGTATTTATTTTTGTATGACTTCATGAATATTTATTTTATTCTGAAAAGTAGAATCTAGTAATACAATTTTGTTACACAAATTGTCCCAAAGTGGCTGTTGAAAACTCTTAACGTTTCCTCTTTGTACTTCTGCCATGTTCCTATCATTTTGTGAGCACTTCCTTACTTAACAGAACCACAAGGTGTTTCAAGATTGTATTATATTTGAGGTAAAGTACGGGATAGATTGTTTAGCATTGCTCAGATACCAAAAAACAAGACTTTTTTTCTCAGTAACCCCGACTATTGCAGATTCTAATGCCTTATATCTCTTTCTGAAAATTTTGTTTCCCTCACACTCCAAAACACTGTATTTACCAGAGAATACTGAATAAATGGTAGGTAACTATTAAATGCTTTATTATAGAAAAATTGTAGCCGGGCGCAGTGGCTCAAGCCTGTAATCCTAGCACTTTGGGAAGCCAAGGCGGGTGGATCACGAGGTCAACAGATCGAGACCATCCTGGTCAACATGGTGAAACCCCATCTCTACTAAAAATACAAAAAATTAGCTGGGCACGGTGGCGCGTGCCTGTAATCCGAGCTACTTAGGAGGCTGAGGCAGGAGAATTGCCTGAACCCAGGAGGCGGAGGTAGCGGTGAGCTGAGATCGCGCCATTGCACTGCAGCCTGGGTAATGGGAGCGAAACTCTGTTTCAAAAAAAAAAAAAAGAAAAAGAAAACTTGTATTTAAAGAAAGTAGTTTAAAAAGAAGCTAACCATTCATTTTCCTGTGTCAGATTTTCTCTGTCTCTTCAACAAAAAACATTTTATTTTTATTTTTATTATTTTATTTATTTATTTATTTATTTATTTTGATTTTCTAAAATACAAAACCCTAAGAAACGGGACATTCCTCTAGGTTTAAAGAAATCAGTTTCTAAAGAGTGGAGCCAAATCCCACCTTGATTTTGATTTCAAAACATTTTATTTGAATTAAAAAAACAGAATTCCAATATGTATATAAGTAATTAAAAAGTAATACAGTATTATAATACTCTATATACATGTCCAGAACTATAACATTTGCTTACATTATAATCAATATAATAATCCATGCTTTATAAAAATTCCAGTTATTTATTCTTTTATACAATATATTTCTATAGTTTGATTTAGATATATTATGAAAATTCTAAATTCCATAAATAAGTACTTACAAAATATCTAACTTTTTAGAGTATTTCAACCTAACAGCTATGTCAGGATTCTTCTTAAGCAAAACAATCAAAAAACTTTTTCAAAAATAGTAAGAAAATGTTGCTTTAAAGTTGGAACATTCAGGTTGTGGGTACGATGGAGCAATAACTCTACACCATCTCTCCCACTGAACACAGCTCTAAATCCTGGACAGACTACAAGGAGCAGCTATTTGAGGATTCAAAAGTAAATAGCAGCAGATGGACTGAGGAAGAACAGAATTCAAATACCAGCAAACAAGTGGTAACATGACTAACTTTTCTACTCCTGTATCCCCTGGTCTGAACTCAACACACAACAAACAAAGAAGTGAGCCCTGAAAAGCATACAGAAAGCAAAAGCCCAGGCGAAGCCTTCTAGTTCTGGCTTATGGGAAAGGGAGTGCAAAACATTCAGAGAGTATGTGAAAAACCCTCAAATTTTTTTAAAAAAAATTATTTTGTTCATTTGCCTACCCACGAGACCTCAGGCAATCCTCTGCTGATGGTGGTAATAGCAGCAGTGACAAAAGAGGGAATGAGAGTGAAGAAAATACAAAACCCTAAGAAACGGGACATTCCTCTAGGTTTAAAGAAATCAGTTTCCAAAGAGTGGAGCCAAATCCCATTGGTCTTTTTCCCTTTGGGATCTGCTGCCACCTTGCCCCAAAGACAGTGAGGTTGTGGAAGTGCACAGTAGATTAGGGTAATGAAAGTCATTGTATTTTGGCCAAAAAAAACAAAAAAAGTATCCCAGAAAACTGGAAATAACCAGGGTGATCATGAGAGAAAAACTTGAGAATATGACTATATAAAGCTGTTTATGAACCACACAGTTTGCACCAGAATAATTCCTGGCAACCTACTTATGCCAAATCCTAAGCCCTATGAAAGAAGTTAGAAATCACCAGACACGGTTAGGTCCAGAAACATAAACAAGGCTTCAGGATGATTCAAGCCAAGGTGTTCTTTGGGAGATTATTCCAAACACAACTGTTGTAAAACTTTCACACTTGTCTTTCAAAAAAAAAAGAGTGAGATGGGAGACCACAGCTAACAAGGTCAGGACAAGGAGGCTGAACATCACAGCAGGTCACAGTCAGAGGTTCTCGAGGGTACAGGAAATAACTGAAAGACAATGAGCACCAAGCACAGTAAAATTAACTTAGCACATTTATTCTGCTAGAGTAAAGATACATTTGGGTTATCTTGGAAAGAGGCAGGGTAAAGCATGCAGGGCACAACTTTTGAACTGAAGCTTCTTCTTAGTAAAACAGCAATTTACCTGGGGAAAATTACTTTTTAAAAAATTGAAATTCTCTAGAAATTATTATAAGGTCATACAGCAAATGAAGAAACATTCATTCAAGAAAATCAACTCAATTTTACTAAGAATGGTGAGGGTAATGGCATATGAGCCATGGTTTTTCCCATTAACCTCCACCATTACCACCAAGCTCTACACCTCTACATTACAAAAGTTCTAATGGAGGCACTCTACTCCACGCAGGTGCAGCCAAGATAAGGAGGGCTTACTCTCTACCTACCTTCTACTCTAGGACTATGGCTTTACCCCAAGAGGAGCAGGCTGCTGTGTTTTTCACTTCTCATAGCCTGTGCTGCAGAAGATTCTGGGCAGACATAGCAAAAATGACATGGTCTGCCTTCCCCCATCCCATCCCCACATGTAAGGTGGAAGCTCTACTTTAAGCATGTAGGCCAAGGAATGGGGTGAGGGGAGGACGGTTCTTGTTGCCCCTGCTACGAAGGAAATCAACTGATAGCAGAGTGGTAAAAAAGACATAAGACACATAGAAAGCAGAAAGCAAAATAGCAGATGTAAATCCATCCTATAAGTCATAACATTGAGTATGAATGGCTTGAATAACCTAATCAAAAGGTAGACATATTCAGATTGAATTAAAGAAAACAAAACGGGATCCAACTATCTACCTTCTACATAAAACAAACTTTAGAATCAAAGTTACAAACAGGTTGAAAATGAAAGGATATATAATATAATCAAACACCATGAAAGAGAATAGAGTGGCTACACTAATACCAGGAAGTAGATATTAAAACAAAAATGTTTCTAGAATTAGAGAGACCTTTATATTGATAAGGCAGACAAAGGGACCTAACAGACATCTATAAAATATTCCAACAGAATACCCATTCTTCCAAAAATACATGAAGCAGTCTAGAAAATACATTATATGCTAGGACATAACAAGACTCAATGAATATAAAAGAGCTGAAATCACACAAAGTATGTTTTCAAACACAAGCAATATTAGAAATTAACATTAGAAAGTTTGGGAAATACAAAATAGTGAATACTAAAGACATTTCTAAATAATCAAGAATTTTAAAATAATCTATTTATATTAATGGTCAATTGATTTTGAGAAAGATTGATTGACATGAAAATTCATTATAGAAAAAAAGTGTTTTCAACAATGGTACTGAGACCATTGGATCTAGGCCAGGCACGATGGCTCATGCCTATTACCCCAGCACTCTGGGAGACCAAGGTGTGGGGATCACCTGAGGCCAAGAGTTTCACACCAGCCTGGCCAACATGATGAAACCACGTCTCTCCTAGAAATATAAAAATTAGCAGGGCACGATGGTGCACCATTCTAATCCCAGCTACTGGGGAGGGTGAGGCATGAGAGTCACCTGAGTCTGAAAGGCAGAGGTTGCAGTGAGCCAAGATAGTGTCAGTGTACTCCAGCCAGGACAACAGAACAAGACACAGCTCAAAAAAAAATAAAAATTAAAAAATCTATTCCTAGCCAGGTATATAATCCTAGCACTTTGGAAGGCTGAGGCAGGAGCATAGGCTGAGGCCAGAGGCTGAGACCAGCCTGGGCAACATAGTGAGAGCTCATCTCTACAAAAAATAAGCAAAATTATCCAGGTACTACAGCCTGAAGACAGAGCAAAACCTTGTCTCAGGAAAAAAAAAAAAAAAAAAAAGGAAGAAGAAGTCTATTTTCCCAGCAAATTTGAAGTACACAATGTATTTTTCTTAATTATAATTACTATACTGTACTTTAAGTATCCAGAACTTAATCATAGGTACCTTTATAACTGAAAAGTTTTATATCTTAAAGTTTATACTCTTTGGCCAACATTTCTTTCTAATTTATGTTTAGGAGAGTATAAACATATAAATATGTTTATATGTTTACTGATTCTTTGGATTTTCTGAGCTTTTACAAAGTGGCATCTCATGTCTTTTGCCCATTATTCTTTTGGAAATTTTAGTATTTTCTATCATTTCTAAGAGCTCCCAAGATATTTAAGTTACAATAGCACTCAGTCATATTCATTGCAATAACTTCTATATTGTTCTGTAACTAAACTTTGTATTTTTATCATAATGGTATGTACTTTACATTTTTTTCACTTTTACTGATCAAATTTATCAATTTCTTTCTGACATCTTTTGTTACATTGATGCTGAGAAAATCTTTCTGTTTCTTAAAATCTAACTGATTTTCATGAATACTTTCTTTTAGTTAAAAATAGTCTACAGTAAACTGTGAAACCTCTATTATCCGGGAATAAAGCATAGATGTAATTTTAAGAGAAAAATAAGTTAATTTCCTTTGTTTCAAACAGAAAATGTCTCCCTTTCTCCTTTTATTTGTCATGCTATTTTTATCACATACCAAATCTCTATGAATGTTTTAAAGTTCTTCTTTACGTTTCATTAATCTATCTCCTTATTTTCTGCTAGCCCCATTATTGTGGTTTTGGAATATATTTAATTACATATGATAATGCTTGCTTCCTTCTCATTACTTATGTTTAACCATACAAAATATCTTCTATTCTTGTCCACATGTTTTTTTTAGGTAGATTTGAAAGACTACTTTTTTAAAATTTTCATTTTAAATGAAAATTTAAAATGAGGACTTTGATTGCAATTATATTAGAGCTATAAGTAATCTGGGAATAACTGATTCCTTAATAATATTCAGTGTTTGCAGTCATGAATGACTGTGTCTCTACATATATTCAAACACTTTCTGTCTCTAAATCAAGGTTAATGTTAGTTTTCTGTACCTAGGCCTTGCATTTTTCTTTTCAACCCCCTCCAAAACACCAAGCCTGAAATCCCTAAAATCTGATGGTGTTTGTATCAGAAAAGATAGTCGATAACATATTACATGTTTTCATTTTGTTACTATAGAAATCATTTGTTTGTTTGAGTAAAACCTTTTTCTTCTAATACAAATTTAGGAGGTTTCCAAAAAGAAATGGGTAGTAGAATGCATGCTAATTACATACTCCATATAGGACTTCTAAAAGATGAAACTCTTATGCCTGCAAAGAAAATATTATGAAGACATTAAGTCTAAAATAATACGTTAAATTTAGCTGGAGGCTAACAAATGAAAATTAAAATAACTAAAAAGTGAGCAAAGCTGGAGAATAAAGTAAAGAACAAACTCCCACATATTTTTATAATTGGCTGTCTTGATCCTGCCAACATTGCAGCCACTAGCCACATGTGGCTACTGAGCACTTGAAATGTGGCTAGTCTGCAATAAGTGCTACAAGCATAAGATGCACAACAGATTTCAAAGACTTAGCACAAACTTTAAAATGTTTCATTAAGGTTCCCCTTTAATTTCTATTTTGAAGATTTTAAGTTAAATAAAATATATAATTTAAATTATACATTTTGCTATTAACTTAATATTAAATTCATTTTGCTATTTCATTTTAAAATTTGCCCACTACATACTTTCAATGACAAATAATGGCTTGCATTATATTTTTATTGTACAGCACTGTGCTAAACTGTTTTCAAAAATTAGCTGATACAAATTGCTTTTTTTTTTTTTGAGACAAAGTCTCACTCTGTTGGCCAGGCTGGAGTGCAGTGGCATGATCTTGGCTCACTGCAACCTCCGCCTCCTGGGTTCAGACGATACTTCTGCTTCAGCCTTCTGAGTAGCTGAGACTACAGGTGCGTGCCACCATGCCCAGCTAATTTTTTGTGTGTTTTTACCATCTTGGTCAGGCTGGTCTCAAACTCCTGACCTTGTGATCTGCCTGCCTCGGCCTCCCAAAGTGCTGGGATTACAGATGTGAGCCACTGCACCCAGCCACAAATTACTCTTTATTCTGGTTGCAAAATGCCCCCAAATAATATTAATTCAGTTTTCTTGATTTTAACTTTTTATACATTAAAAAGATTATGTCTTTGGCTTGCAAGTTCAAGGTTTAGTAAAAGTTAATTATTATACTATATATTTCCACTTTGAAATATTATAGAAGTGTTCGGAAAATACAAAGTACATATGTGGAGCTTGATGAATAAACTATAGCACGTGCAAGAGAGAGAGAAACAGAGAAAGAACAATGTTATGAAACATCAAGATATATTTTATGTCTCAAGATCACAAATAATTTCAAAATTACTAAATAGTAAAAGCTGAAACCCTCTATTATCTTCTTCTTAGTCATTGAGAAGGAATTTATTAATAATAGAATAAACTAATTACAAAAGATATTTGAAAGAATAAAGAGTTCTTGGGCAAATATGCTTAAGACATTTTAAATTATTTTGTCAGATTTTAAACTTTTGTTACATCGTTAAACAAGAAAACCTCAAGTTTAATACCTGTTATTTCTTGCTATGAAAAATGTTCAGAGCATTTATATGTAACTCTTCTGTGACACTGAACACTTGCTACCTTAACCTAAACTGCAAAATCCTTGAAATTTTGACAGCTTTGTCTTCTTGATTGACTTTCTACCATCATACCACTCCTTGCCAAACACCAAACACAAGACTATAGACATAGCTGATGTCAGGGACGATTTATTAAATTAAAGAAGGAATGACTAAATGAAGAAGTGATTATGACCTCGTTTGCCCCTGTGTGTTATAGCCTAAAGACATTACGTCCATAAAAAAGTGTGTCCAAATTTTGTAGATATATAGAAGAAAAAGAACATAAAATGTCAGTAATATTATAAGTTATTGGTTCTTATTCGACATTTTTAATGTTTCCTCTTAAATAGTAACAGAAGAAGTTTTTTGCAACAGGATAATTTTCTCAACTAAACAAAATAAAACTGTACATTACTGCCTTACACTTTATATATTATTATAAAACTGGGAGCTTAAACTCTCCATTTTTATTTTATCACCTAAGTCAGAAATACATTATTTCTTCAAATATTTAAAATATTATAACCAGGTATAATAAAACAAACACACAAATAATATGGTATATCCAAATTTGTACATCATTTAAATCTATCATGTATATTCAGAGACATACTTAAAATTTATGTTTTTAACTCCTTGTCTGCTAGGAATTATTTCCAGTCCTATTATTTTACATCAGATCTTCATCAGCAGTTTTCCAGTTGCAGAAACCACTGTATGTATGTATTTCTCAGCAGTATTAGAAACAAGAATATAATTTTGCTTGACGTGTATAACCCTCTGAGGGCTATGAAACTGCATTTCAAGAAATATTAACTAATGTCATTTGAACGGATATCTTTAAAATGCATCAGAAGAGTGTGGGGGGGGTTGAAATGTCTTGAAAGCTAACTCTGTATTTTGGGGTGCTTCTGATGCTTACTATATGAATATTGGCCTTTCTAAAACAACAAGATGCTCAGATATTTTGCCAAAATGTGCTAAAACAAAATCACTCAGAGAATATGAGCTAGTCTAGAGATTAATAAACCCTCTAATTTCAAAAGCTTACACAAATAATGAGATAAAAGCTGATAATTTTCAGCCTTCAAATATTTCAAGACTTCACTGTTTCTATGACATATGCATCCCGTATGAAAGATTTGCTATAGGGGTTGTAATGGCCTTCTGGGACAGGAAGAGTAAGGTTTCTGGAGAAAATGTTAAATTAATTTTGATGGTGATGCAAAGTTAAGAAAGGGTTTTTAAAGGATGGCTTGCTGCCATGGGGTGGAGTTTTGTTTTGGTATCCTTTTAGAGCCTGCAGGTGTTTGGCACTAGTTAAAATCAGGGCCAGCTGTGATATTTCAATAGTTCTGATATTTTCCTCCCAATAGTTCTCAGAAGTGATGCTTCAGGGTGATGTCTTACACCTGATATATTCGACTTGTGTGGTACAAATGTGAAGACTCTATTAAATAACACCAGTTTTGTGACACCCGTAGCCCTCTCTTCCCTACCCTGAGGTCATGGCATCAATGACAACAAAAAAACACTAATTAGAGGCTCCAATCACTCATAGTTTTTAATTAAGCAGTTTAATCAAAGTGGTGATATGCTACAATCACCAAATATACAGTTTTAAGTGAAGTCTAAAAGCAGAATGTCACATTGCCTTTTAATTCTCAATGTAGACAATGATGTTTTTAATCCCTCTCAGTGGTAAGATATATACCTATGTTTGCAGGAATTTGAATAGTTTCTATTAAAAGCTGCATTTTCTTTTAAGTTTGTTTGGGTTGGAAACCCTCAAACCACAATATATTTCATGCACATGTTCCCAAGAGTATGTTAAATAGGACCATACTGAGGTCATCTAGTAAGTTTTTGAAACTTTTTAAGAATTCCTTTAATGTACTGCACAATCTTGGCTTGATTAAAAAAAGATATTTTAAGAAAGCACTTGGAAAAATAGCTATTAAAATCTATATGCAGATAATCTATATTATGCATCTATAATGCACAGAGCTTTCCACAGATAATTTGTCACTGAGAAAGACAATAAAACTCCCACGCTAAAGGTTTTGCATAAAAACTCCTCAGAACTTTCAGTAAATGCAGACCAATCCCCCTCTGCCCAGCCTGCAGTATTCTTGATTGACTTAACAGTGGATGCCTGTAGGATCACTTTAACTGTGCAAAGGTCTGTCACATATAATCAGAGGATAAGAGGTAGACAATCTTTCATTTATCCATGAAAAATAATATCATCTGTTGTTTTGGTTGAACCAAAAAAATCAAGTTACCTCAATCCATGAGACTATGATGAAATTGTTAGGCTAAAAATAGTTTCTACTATCAAGTAAATTTTTGCTGTCTCCAAGTTCAAACCACAAATGAAATGTTGTAAATGGTCTACGTGAGAAGTAGGCACTCAAATTTTTCTGCTGTTACTTGAGGCTCCCAGTCCTGGCTTTTGTTGTTGTTGTTACACATACCCCGTTTCATTTTATCGAAGTCTCCATTCCTGCCCCATGTTCCAGGCCTTGTACTTCACCCAGAGCAATTTTCAGAGCAGCTGTGCTGGCACAGAGCACACGGAGAGTGGGCCACGCGCGCCAGTGGTACGTTCCCACATCTGAACAGAAGTGGCCGTTTCCATGCACCCAGGGCCAAGAAACTCTACAGCTCATCAGAGGCAAAACAAGGGAGGATACCTTAAGTGGAAATAGTACTTAGAAAAAACTTTTACAAAAAATGAAAAATAAAAGGGTTTTCAATAATCAGAAATAAGGAAGGAAAGTCCTCTTCTTGGCATAGAGTTTGCAGATATATTTTTATAAAAGGATAGCAGAGTGCACGTTTAAGTTAATGATCCCCATCCCCAAAGCTACACTAGATTTTCTTCTATCCACTATATAAAGATAAGTAAAAGAAATTAAACAGGAATATAAGGGCACCATCATAACCACAGCTACTACTAGGCATTGGCTGTTTACCATCTCACAATCCCTGTGCTGTTTTCTTTATAAACAATACCTCAGATGCTAGTTCACCATTTTACACTTAAGGAAACCAGAGTCTAGAAAGTATATAATAAACTGCCCACGAGTTTTGACTCCATGGTCTTAACCATTATGTTACACTTAGTTCCCTCAGATTACCAAGGGTTTTCCAACCAGCCCTGAAGATAGAGCTCGTCAGCCTCTCTCAGAAGTACACAGGATGATAGTTATGGTGGGGAGAATTTCAAAAGTTGGGGGGACTACATAGGAGCCACTTGATTATTTGGAAAACTTGAACATTCCAGAGTTAAACAACTCATTAACCCCTACCTTTCTAATAAATAAATTCAAAATTGACTTAATAACAGGTACACACTGTGTACTGAATTTATGCTAAGTCACAAGCACTGGATATATCAAAAGTTTGTTGAATAAATGAATGAACTTAGTCATCATAGTTAGATGCCATCTTGAGGGTTTTGAAAAATAATCTGCTTTACACAAATTTCACAAAGGGCAGTTTGTAGAGACATTTGCAACAGTATCAAAAGCTGGTATGCTGACTTAGGTAATATAAATGTTCTCCATTTTGGAAGGTAGGCTAATGACTAAAAATATGCCATAGACTAAGAACAGAAATTTTTGTAGCTCCAAAAGAATTGAGATGCAAACATTAAAGTAATTACACCAAACCGCAAGAGAAAATTAGTATGAAAATCCCAATTATCCTATATTCACTTTGAACTAGCCAATAAAGTAAATAATTTTAAGATAGTGGGTGCAATTGTAAATCTTTGTTTATCAAAGCCTAAAAACTAGGTAGTGATAGAATATACTTAATATATTTTTAAATAATTATATATATTTAATATATTATTATATAAATTATAAATAATATAATTATTTAAAAATAATTGTTTGCTTCGGTGCCTTCGTCTCTGATAAACACAGATAGAGCAATAGAAATGCTGATGGAAAACTCTTAGGAAGCATCTCCAGAAAAATGTACCCTCAAATTGAGATATACATGAAGTTCTTCACACACCTCAATACACAACAGCTTCAAATGGTAGCTTGGCCTCACTCAAAGTTACGAAGTGAGAAAAACGGTCCCCTGTTCTCCTACATTCAGAGTGTGCGCAATGCTACTTCCTTGTAAGGAATCACCAGGCATTAATCCACGGATGGCATGGGGTCCCTTTCAGATGAATTCACATAGTACACAACAAATGGGCCCCCTTATGTCAAATACTTATTTACCATTATTGACAAGTGTTTTAATATGAACAAAGCTTTGCCATACTCACAATCTTGGCAGAAAAATAGCATATGCAGAATTCCTGAATTCATTCACTTTTCATACATCTTCCCCAGTAAATGTCATAACCGTTAAATGCAAAATATTTCAATTTTCTTTTAAGCAGATATTAATGTAAGATTAAAAGTTCCAAAATTAAAGAGATAGATTGGTTTTCCAACAAAGATCTCCTCCCTCAAAAGGTGTATTCTATGTTCAGTAGTTTATTTCTAAGAAAAATCTGTCACTAAATAAAAAACCCAAATAAAAATACCCCATAGTTTTGAATGTTAGAAACTGACAAGATGATTGAATAATCATACTGAAAGCTTTAAAATGGAGTCCTTCTACCTTTGGGGATTAATCCATGAATTTGAGGAATGGAAAATTGCTTCTAGTTATGTTGATTGAAGTAATAAATTCAAAACATTATTTTGCTATCATCTAAAAATAATCACTTGAACAATGTTATAAAATAAATATATTTTCAGGTGACCCTGTTCCTGGGGACCAAAAAGGAGCCTGATAAGTAATGTAGAGCACAAACCACGATCTGTGTAAAATGTATGCCTCACAGATAACACGATTAATCACACCAAACAAAGTCCTCTCATTGGCAGGATTAAATATGACCTGCTCTGTACATTTTAAGATAATCAGATGATCAGAGGTGGACTGTAACTATGAAAGTTCTCATATTTCTTCCTAGAAAGAACAGTCTCTGAGTACCCAACCCCAATATCTCAATTGTGTATATTTCTGTTTTTCAGGAAAATTAAATACTCTGGCCCAGAAACTTCATGTAGTGATCGATGAAGAAATACAGTATGTTAAATGTAACACAAGTATACTTACAAATCGCACTTCTTTTTTTTTTTTTAGACAGAGTTTTGCTCTTGTTGCCCAGGCTGGAGTGCAATGGCGCGATCTCGGCTCACCACAACCTCCGCCTCCTGGGCTCAAGCAATTCTCCTGCCCCAGCCTCCCGAGTAGCTGGGATTACAGGCATGCGCCGCCATGCCCAGCTAATTTTGTATTTTTAGCAGAGACAGAGTTTCTCCATGTTGATCATGCTGGTCTCAAACTCCTGACTTCAGGTGATCTGCCCACCTTGGCCTCCCAAAGTGCTGGGATTACAGGCGTGAGCCACCGCACCCGGCCACAGACAGCCACTTCTAAGTTCTGGTTCTTTTTTATCTCAAGTCCACAAACCATTTTAATATAACAGTGAAAAATCATATCATGTTACTTAAGCTTAAGATCAGTGGCAAAGGTACCTTGATATAAACCAATCTGGACAGAAAAGAGAGGCAAATGCTTGTGTTAAACTTCAAAAAACAAACCTGAGGTTCTGCAAATACATTCTTCATGTTGTTGATTGGGCCATATGGGACTCCACTGCCTTCAAAGAGACGTAACCACTTGCTGGTCAGTTCTTCTTCAAATCTAAGAAGACAAACAAGGATAAATTTGTTACACTTGAAAGAAGGTAACACAGCCTCTTCTATCACGTGGTCCTCTTTCAAAGCAAGCAATAGTGACAAAAATATGTTTTCTAGTCTTTCTTTATACCTCACTTGAGAGAAGGCTGTCCGTATGAAATGACTTGAGTGGCCATGTAGTGGATAAGAGTAGCCACCCAGGCCCTAGTGTTGAAAAATCCATCACTTAGAGATGTAATTCTTCCTATTTTTATTACTATGACCTCTCTGAGCAATTTATGAATTATAATAATAATATCACTGTACTTTTAGCATAAAGTCATTGGGCAGTATGTCTTTTAGGCTGCAGGTAGAAGAAATCAGGTTAGAATAGGCACTAATATATTATTCTTCAAAACTAAAAATAGAGCTGTTTAAGAAAGCTTTGGGGAAAGTATGTAAAAATTAACAGTCACAACCATTGGCCTACAAACAATCTTTGTACTATGATTTCCTAACCAGCACAACTCAAGACATGCAAAGAGTGATATTTCAGTTTAGCCAACAAAACTCAAATTCATCCGAATCTTTTGTCTGTTTTATTTCTACTATAATTTTTTTTTTTGAGATGGAGTCTTGCTATGTCGCCCAGGATGGATTGCAGTGGCACTATCTCAGCTCACTACAACCTCTGCCTCTTGGATTCAAGCTATTCTCCTGCCTCAGCCTCCCAAGTAGCTGGGATTACAGGCATGCACCACCACACCCAGCTAATTTTTGTATTTTTAGTAAAGACAGGTTTTCGCCATGTTGGCCAGGATGGTCTTGATCTCTTGACCTTGTGATCCGCCTGCCTTGGCCTCCCAAAGTGCTGGGATTACAGGCATGAGCCACTGTACCCAGCCTCTACTATAATGTAAAATTGTATTTCACAAAAAGGCATATTGGATTTTCTTTATTTTCTCTAATAGATCTTACAGAAGGGGAGCTAACACATTTATGAAATTTACTATTTTCTATTTCGTCTCTGTAAAGACAGTAAACACAGGACTAAAATCTTGGATCTATAGGGACACCTCAACACAGTTTCTAATGTATGAAGCATTTCAGAATTATTGATTATTAAAATATCAAACCTGTTTTAATTAATTAATAATCTAGATAACCAAAGAGACATTTTTAACACATTAGCCAAAGTAGACTATTGGTTGCCGGTAAAATGTTTTACCAATTTGGAAGGACTAGTTAAACAATAGTAGAGTATTCATAGACTCCCATTCAGTTCTCCTGTACTTAGCTAGGACTAGATTCAAATCTGCAGACTCCATAGGAAACTGTGTAAGAAAAATTTGCTTCCTTCACCATTAAAAAAAAAAGTATAGGAATAGTTTTGGTGGCTGGGGACAGTGGCTTATGCCTGTAATTTCAGAACTTCGGGAGGCCAAACCTGAGGTCAGGAGATCGAGACCAGCCTGACCAACACAGTGAAACGCCATCTCTACTAAAAATACAAAAATTTAGTTAGGCATGGTGGCGGGTGCCTGTAATCCCCGCTACTCATGAAGCTGAGGCAGGAGAATCCCTTGAACTTGGGAGGTAGTGGTTGCAGTGAACCAAGGTTGCGTCATTGCACTCCAGCATGGCAACAAGAAGAAAACTCTGTCTAAAAAAAAAAAAAAAAACAGAAAAAACAGAATAGTTTCAATACAGAATCAATACTGGAGGACACTTCATTGATTGTTATCTAAGAGAATAAATGAAAAATGAGAAGTGTAAAAAGAAAAAATTGAATACATGTATTTTCCAAAATAAGGCTACTATATTAACAATGATGTTCAATCATATAAGTTTTTACTTAAGGATATAATAAATATTTTATAAAGGTAGTATTACATTTCATTAGGAATCTAATCAATCCTATCCCACATTCATTTACTGTTGTCCACTATACACCAAGCATTGATTTTGTTTTTAAATATATGCCTTCCATTTTCTCTCCAATTTGATGGACAAGTATTTTTTATTATACATTTTAATTTCACCCCAGTAATGTTAAGCACCCCTATTTAGTAAACAATAAAATACTTCACTTCTAAATATAGTTTAAAAAAAATCTGTCCCAGGAATAACAATGCAAGGTTAAACGTGTTGGCTCCAATCAGTTCTTCACATTCTTGCTTTCTTTTCAATGACTGTTCCAGTCATCTCCTGGCCAAGACTTCCTATAATATACATAGATATATATCATCAGAATGATATATGCTGAAAGAGTAAGAATGATACTTTGAACCTAGAACCTTTTCAATGAGGGTGTCAATTATTTAAGTTTTCATAAATGGGGTGTTAAAACAGCCTGATAAATTTTCAAGACAACAGAATTTATCACCACTGGACTCACAAAAGTGGCATGAATGATCTACATAGCAAATGCATGTCAATATCCAAACCAAACCATGGCTGCAGGTTAGCCAACAGAAAACTCAGGGGAATAGTTGAAGTTTTAGTATTTATATAAGCTTTTCACCACTGGGCTAAAGAGAGGGATTTATTAAATGATACGGAAAACAACGGATGCGCTCTGGAAATGAGACTGCGGGAGCTGTATTTGTGACCACTGTCTTTGCGTGGGTGTGGGTGTGGAAGGGTTCTGAAATGCCAGGAACTCAATCAGAAAAAGACAAATCATCATTGCATTCCACTGCTCTCAGAGGACATATCCATCATTTTTTTCTAAAAATTTATCTCTTGATCTAAATTGGATGTGGAATCCTTTCCTTTATCTATGCAAAAAGCTGTAAGCACATGTTTTTATTAAACACAAAAATTCTGCTAAAAAAATAAAAAGAGCTAATATCTAAGTTATCTAAATAACTGAGGGCAATAGATTCCAGAAGGCAAGACCAAAGGGGTGTCCTCAGATCCAGCTTAGCAAGGGGAGCTAGGACCTTCACTGGCAAATTATCTGCAGACTTACAAACAATTCAACTTTAATTGGCAACTTACTATATCAACACCTATATTTCATTCTAGATTTTTGTAAATTCACTTAATGCTGGTAGTGAGTATTATGAATCAAATGGCATCATTTAGGTAGATGAAGTACAGCTGATGTTAAATTTCCTAACAGCAAAATTCTACTTTGAAGCATTCTTCTCCTTATAAAATGAATAAAAGTTGCAAATGAGCCAAATACAAGACCAGAGAGAAACTAATAAGAAATATCAGCCATGAAAGTGAGAGTTGGAAATAATGGTGACGTTAATGATGACTAAATGCTGGTCATTAAATTGCTTCATCTATATTTTGTCAATTTTACCTTCACAACCACACTATACGGTATTATCCTCATTTGATCAATAGGAAACTCAGGTTCAGAGAAATTAACTTGCTCAAATTCATACAGCTTTTAGAGTCAGAAGCCATGTTTCAAGCTGAGACTGCTTAACTCCAAAACCACGTTCTAACACATAATGACTGTAGCAGAACACATTCGGAATGCATAGCTTCACATATTTTATGCATTATATATGGTCACAGCTAAAAAATGAAGGAGCAGAGGTGAAATTGTTCATTTTTTTGCACTCATAATATGTTTCTTGACTTCTATCTTATATATCTCAGTATATATTATTATATTAATCCACATTCACTCCTGATGCTTTTAGCAAGAGTTTGTTTTGCCTCTGCCATGGAGACTGCAATAAAAAAGACAGTCCCTGCATTAAGAGTTCATGTAGTCTAATGGAGAACACAGCTATGAAAATAGATGTATTACAATGCAGGATGCTGAGGCAAAGATATGAAGAAACAACTTATGGGTGAAGCACCAAAAAGGGAGACTTGCACTGGACCCACAGAGGCAGGAAAGGGTTCAAAAACAAATAGTTCCATTCACACTGTGATTATCACAGTCCTGACTCTTGATTCTGCACACTCAGACTATAGCAATATCTGGTTAAAAACATATTGCCTCCAATATTCTTCCTTCCAAAAAGTCACCGATGTTAGGTGACTTTTTTGAGCTGAGTGTTTTAGCTGAGTGTTGAAAGACAAGTTAGAATTAGACATGTGAAAGATGGGAGGAAGGCTCTTCCAGGTAGAAAGAGCAATATGTACAAAGATCTAACTTGGAAAGAATCTGAAATCTCCTGTGCCCCAAGTGGCAGAAGATGAAATGTGACAGAGAGTTTAGAACCAGAATGCAAAGCAACTTGTCTGCTATGCTAAGAATATTGGATTTCTTCTTGCAACAAGGAACCCAGAGAGGTCTTTAAGCAGGGGACTGACCTACTCAGCACTGATGCAGACAATGGGCTGATTTAGACGAGACTAGAGATGTAGGGCTGATGTAGATGAGAAACTTGACAGGCGGCAACATACTCTTTGCCTTTGATGTATCCAAAATCTACCAATCAATATCTTCCATATTATTATCAATAACAAGCTTCCCATTTGAAAAAAAAAAACTGTTTTCTAGCCATTCCCGTCCCTTTTAATTACTTATTTGTCTGTTTTCAATCCACCAGCATCCCCGAGCCTCTGAAATCTGGTATGGTCATGAATGCCTTTCCTTACCCAGTCTCTAAAGGTCTCCAGTGACCATCTGTCAAATCCAATATTATTTTCATGGTTGTCATACTACATCCCTAAGTAGTATTTGATAATGTTGACTATTTTATGTGGAGGTCTTCTGACACCATTCTCCCTTGGTTTCCTAGATTTTTTTTTCACAGTCTCGCTCTGTCACCCAGGCTGGAGTTCAGTGGTGCAATCTTGGTTCACTGCAACCTCTGCCTCCCATGTTCAAGAGATTCTCCAGCCTCGGCCTCCAGAGTAGCTGGGATTACAGGTGCCGCCACCACACCTGGCTAATTTTTGTATTTTTAGTAGAGAGGGGGGTTTCACCATGTTGGCCAGGCTGGTCTTGAACTCCTGACCTCAGATGATCCTCCTGCCTCAGCCTCCAAAAGTGCTGAGATTACAGGTGTGAGCCACCACACCCAGCCCTCCCTTGATTCTCTAAAT